CCACCCCAGATTATTTTAAAACAAATCACAGATATTAAGTCATCTAGAAATATTGAATCAGGGGCCAGATAGATAGTGCAGTGGGTAGTGTGCTCGCCTTGCACACAGCTGACCAGGGTGTGATCCCTGCAAGTCCAAGCGGTTCCCCAAGCACCACCAGGAATGATCCCTGAATGTAGAGCCAGGAACAACTCCTGAGTATCATCTGGTATGTTCAAAAGCAAAAATAAAACTGAAAAAGAAATACTGAAGAAATACTGGTTCAGGGAGTGACAGTACAGTGGTTAGGGCTCTTGCCTTGCGTATGGTCAACTCAGGTTAGATCCCTGACATTCCATATGCCCCCCCCACGCCCCCGAGCCTGCCAGAACTGGTTCCTGAGGGTAGTCAGGAGTTACTACTGAACATTACCAGGTTTGAACCAAAACAACAACAAAAAAGAAAAGAAAAGAAAAGAAAAGAAAAGAAAAGAAAAGAAATACTGATTCAACCTCTGAAGAATACTCTTTTTTGGGGGTGGGGGGAGGGCAGGCGGGGAAATTCTCCCACGCTTGCTTAGGAGGCCCAGGGGTTCCACTGGATAGTCTTGGCCAATCAGGAAGGTGGTTCAGGGCAGAGGCTGTGATGCTGTCGGGCCACTGGGAATTATCTGGGGCACCCTGGCAGGTTTGGGGGCTTCCAGGACTCCAGGGACACCCTGCAATACTCAAGGGACTATATAGTGCTCGGGTCAGACATATGCTAGGCATGCTAACCACTGAACTATCTCCTGGCCCTGAGAATAACCATAGGGGCTGGAGCAATAGCACAGCAGGTGGGGCGTTTGCCTTGCACGCGGCTGACCCAGGTTCAATTCCCAGCATCCCATATGGTCCCCTGAGCACCGCCAGGGATAATTAATTCCTGAGTGCAGAGCCAGGAGTAACCCCTGTGCATCGCCAGGTGTGACACAAAAAGCAAAATAAAAAGAATAACCATAAAATATCATTATCAGAATTAGTAGTTTCTCTATATACTTCAAATATCCTGTTAGTTTGGAAATCTTCCAGTTGCAATTTAGGTTTTTGATTTGTTTTTTGCAGTGAAGGATTGAATCCAGATCCTTCCATGTGGGACCCAGAGGATTATAAGTGTGTGTGTGTGTGTGTGTGTGTGTGTGTGTTTAAATAAGTATCCAAATAAGGTCTGTATCCTTTAACATATTATTGGAAATATAATTTAGGTGTGGGAAGAAATTTTGCAATAAAAATATTCATTGCACTTTCCCAAAGACATACGAATGGCCAATAGGCATGTGAAGAAGTCACTGATTGTCACTAATTATTAGGGAAATACAAATGAAAACAACACTGAGATATCATCTCATGACAGTGAGGATGGCATATATGAAAACATCTGGAAACAGCCAGAGTTGGCAAGGTTGTGGTGAGAGGTGAGAAAGAAACCCTCATTCACTGTTGGTGGGAACATTCTCTGGTTGTTCTATGGGAAAAAATAACAACAAAAAAAATTTTTTTGCAGTCTTGCTTAGAATGGAGAAAAAAATCTAATCATAGGAAATATTAGATTTACCTTTAAAAGTATGGACAGGGGCTGGAGCGATAGCACAGCGGGTAGGGCGTTTGCCTTGCACGCAGCTGACCTGGGTTAGATTCCCAGCATCCCATATGGTCCCCCGAGCACTGCCAGGAGTGATTCCTGAGTGCATGAGCCAGGAGTAACCCCTGAGCATCGCCGGATGCTGGGTGTGACCCAAAAAGCAAAAAAAAAAAAAGTATGGACAATGGAAAACATGTAACAATTTAGAACAGTGCTGTACGAAAAATTTATAATTAACAGGCAAATTGCTTGTAAGTGAAAAAGAAAGATTATAATGGGATTGGAGCTATAGTATAGCAGGTGTCTTGTATATACTTGTTTATACTTGTATAGCACTTGTCTTGCATGAAGCTGACCTGGGTTTGATCCCCAGCATTCCATATGGTTCCCAACCCATAAAGAGTGATCTCTGAGGAGTCGAAGTGGTCATACAGTGGATAGGGTGCTTGCCTGGCATGTGACCTACCCGGGTTCAATCCCTGGCATCCCATATTATGGTCCCCAAGCACTGACAAGATTAATTCATGAGTGCAGAGCCAGAAGTAAGCCCCGAGCATAGCCAGGTATGGCCCAAAATGAGAACAAGTTATAAGATAGTATTTATACTGTTATTCCACTTTGTTAATGAGGCATATATATGTATATATTCTGAATGGCGGAATATGAGGGAATTTAATTCTCTCAAATTTTGCAATCCAATCTTCTTTTCTTCTCTCTCTCTCTCTCTCTCTCTCTCTCTCTCTCTCTCTCTCTTTTGGGGGGGAGGCACACCCAGCTGTGTGCAGGGCTTACCCCTGGTTCTGTACTTAGAGATCACTCCTGGCAGGCTCAGGAGATCATATGGGGTGCCAGGGATCAAACCCAGATTGGCCACGTGCAGGATAAATGTCCTACTGTTATCCTAGCTCTCTAGCCCCGTGAGAGCTTTCTACAATGTCTGTGGCTGCCTTGTGTCATAAGAAGTCATTAAAAATAAAGACGTAGGATTCCATTCTGGGATTGTCATATGCCAGTTCGTGGTGCAGAATTGTTCTTCCTCTAGTTATGGGACTCTCTTATATCCCATAGTTTCTAAATAAAACTATTTACTTTTATCTCGCTAAATATCAGATAAAAGTAAAATAAAATAAAAAAGAAAGAAAGATGTGGCTGGAGATGTAACTCCTCCCGAGGACTCTTGGCTTGCACGTGTGAGGCTGTGGGTTCAATTCCCGGCCCCTCCCCCACAAAATCAATAAATGAAGCTGGGGTGAGAGCACATCTTGGGGGCAGCTGGGTCTCCTGTAGGGTATCTACTTCGACACGTACGTTATGCTTTCCTGTGCCAGCGTGTCTGCTCACGTGCCTGTGGCGAGTTCTCTGAGCAAGCAAGGGCAGAAGGAATCTCCACAAAAGCGCATTGTTCCCTCCTGGGGCACGTGAACCCCTGAGGTCTCAGCAGAAGGGGGACGCAGAAAAGGTGCAGGCACAGCCTTCCTTCTCCAGGAAGGGAAACTGAGCCTCGAGGACCTGATTTCCCCTCTCCTTACCCTCAGGATGGGGGGTCGGGGTCGGTTTGGGTCCTGGTGTGTGATGCTGGCCACCTCCGGAGATTCTGTTTTCTGTCCTGGAATTTCTGCATCTGTGGATGTGTGTGAGGGCGGGGTGGGGGGAGGGGGGTTCCCCCCCACCTGTTGGCCCAGGGAGTGGCTAATCCCCTGTGGGATTCAGGATCTGACCGAACTAGCTCAGTTCCCCACACCCTTTCGGCAGGACCGGCTTTTGCTTGTCTGCCTTCTGTGCCTTCTTTCTGTCCAAGGGCGCCTCCTCTGACCTGTCAGCAGCCCCCGCAGCCCTCCCAGGGAGCGTCTCTCCACTGCTCAGCTCAGGCCTCCTGTGATTCCCCCCTCTCCCCCCGCCCGAGGCACCCTCTCTCCGACCTGTTGCTGGTCTTCCTATTTTCCTTGGGCCCCCTCTCCCCTTCCCTATTTCTACTTCGCAGGGTCTCCTCTTCCGTGGCTGACAGGACAGGCAGCTATGGACCAGCCCAGCACTAAGGAGTTTGCATAACTATATCAGGCAGGGATGCCAGTGAACCAGTGTTACTGGCCCATTTGACAGATGAAGAAACTGAAGCCGAGATGTTGAGTTGATTGTCCAGAAATCGCCCGGTTAGAAAGTGACCGAGCGAGAATTGCAGCCGTGTCTGACTGCAAAGCCTGCTTTTCAAACCCACGCATACTTCTGTGTTCATTCGAATCAAACTTCCTGGAGTGTCATCTCCATGGAGACGGTGGAGTCCTTCTATTCTGGTGGCGAAAGAGCCCCCGTTGAGGGGAGCAAACTGTCCCCTTTCTAGCCTTATTGAGGTTTGACTTCTCTGAGCCCTCCTGGCTGGCCTGGAGGATGAACACTCAGAGCTCCTCAGGACCATGCCAGCCTACTCTCTCCAGGGCCCCTACGCAGCCAGACAGCCTCCTGACTTCCTGGGGCTGTAGCTCTAAGAGGTCCTGACCGAGCAAGACAAGGGAGCTGAGGGGCTGGAGCGATAGCACAGCGGGTAGGGCCTTTGCCTTGCGTGCGCCGACCCGGGTTTGATTCCCATCATCCCATATGGTCCCCTGAGCACCACCAGGAGTAATTCCTGAGTGCAGAGCCAGGAGTAACCCCTGAGCATCGCCAGGTGTGACCCAAGTAGAAAAGAAAAGAGAAAAAAAAAAGATAAGGGAGCTGCCTCTGCTCCAGAGAGCACGCAGGCTGAGCCAGCCCAAGCTCACAGGCTCACCACTCACCGCCTGGTTCTCCCTTCTCAGCCACCCGCCCCTCTTCCCAGTGAAATGTTGACTTTGGGGCTCCCAGCCCTCAAGCAAAGCCCCACCCCCTCCCAGCATCCTAAAGTTTGGGGGCTGCATTCGAGAAAGAGATTTCCTACTAGGGGTATCCTAGAGAGGCTCCTGAGGGCAGCCTATCCTCGAAGGACAGGGGGAAGTGGGGCCCCCTCCCACCCATGCAGTCCCCAAGGCATCTGCGAGCCCCCTACCCCCGGTGAGACCTCTGCCCTCTCCCCCTCCTGCCAGCCCAGCCGAGCAGGGACCGAGCTTGCTGGCTGTCACCTGACGCTGGGCAGCCGCTGATCCCATTGGTGGAGCCGGATTCGGTCTGGCTCTCTGTTCTTTCTCGCCTTCTCTGCCTCTCTCTCCTCCACGCTGCTCTGATCTCCCTCCTGCCTGTCTCTCCTGGCTCGCCTGGGAACATCGCACCCTCCCGGGGGCGGCGGGGTACGCTGCAGAGCCCGGCAGGAGCAGCCTGCGGGGCATGGAAGAAGCTGCCTTGGCAGCTGCCAGAGGACCCGGGGCACCGTGCCGGCACTGCCTGTGACCCAGCGTCCCTGCCCCTGCCGGGGAGCCCGTCTGTCCGGGGCGTCCGCGCAGACGTCTGTCTCTCCCTCGCTCTTCTTTGCTCGCTCGTCTCCCGCTGCAGAGCCGCTGGACCCAGGTGAGCGTCCTCACTCCCCAGAGCATCCCGCTGTCGGTCCTGCATGGGGCTTAGTGGGGGAAGGACGGGGCAGGGGGAGATTGAGTGGTCAGGGGCTGGGAGTTGGGTCGCCAGGGCCCTGACGGTGCCTGCAGTGTCCACCTGGACATGGCTCAGCCAGGACGGCGACCTTGTCCCCTCTCCCCCAGGCCTTTGGCAAAGGGATTAACAGCTGGGTCGAGTCCCCCGGGCACCGTGGTTAGTCACCCCGTGACCATTCTGCTGCAGTCAATAATGCCAACAGGGACAGAACGGGAGGGGGGGATGCCCTCCCCGTGGCTGCAAGGGGCTTTTCCCTGGGGGGGGGCAGGGGCCCCGGGTCTAGCGTGTGCCTCACATGTGCGCATAGCCAGGAAGGCGCCTCTCCTGCGTAGGTCGCTCTGCGTGCGTGGCGAGTGCTTCCCTGGGTGCCGTGTCAGAACATGTGTTCCTTGTACATCATGGGAGGACATGTGTGTGTGCAGAGGGTCACTTTTCTGAGTGGCCAGGCTCTGGCGGGAGCTCTGCCAGGCATTCTATTTATGGGGTGCCCACCTTCCCCCATGTTGTGTGGGGGGGGGGTGAGCGTGCGCCCAGAGGGTTTCTCTGTGTGGAGGTGCCTCCCGGGAGCAGAAGGGGCCGGGGACGGAGAGTGTGGGTGGGGTCCCTGCCAGGGCAGCCCTGCGTGGGTGTGCAGACCTGTTGGCATGTGGGGCGGCGGGGTTTCAGGGGCTGGTACCCTGGCCAGCGCCAGCGGGTTTTCCCAGGGCATGCGTGGAGAAGACATGAGCAAAAGAGTGCATGAACAAGAGCGGAGGCTAACATATGTGCCGATGGACACGTGTGTCCAAGCGGGCTGGCGCACTGCATGTGTGCTGTGGATGTGGTAGGAGGCACACCGTGCCCGTGGCTGCCCCTTTTTCTCCAAATAAGGCTGTGGGAAGGTGTGTGCGAGCCCCTGTGCGTGCGGGAGCCTGTGCATGGAACGTGTGTGGGTCCGTGTGGCGGGGAGAGCTTGGGGAGGGGGAAACTGGAACATTCTTAGAACGTGGCAGGTGGCAGAAGCCGCCCGAGTGTGGAGGGCAGCGGGGGCTGTGTGCGGCCCCCGTGTGGGTTGCTGCGGGTGGGCACGCTGGGGTGCATGTGTGTACATGCACATGCGTGTGCCTGCCTGCCTGCCTGTGTGTGGGTGTGCGGATGCCTGTCTCGGGTGGATTCGCACAGAGCATGGGTGTTCCTCAGGTGTTGCCGCACCCTGCCCTTTCCACCCCACCCCTCCCGAGGCACCCTGCCGTGGAAACCTCAGCTTCACTGCCAACTGCGGCCGCTTTCCCTGGCGAGTGTGGGGGCGCAGCTCTTTGAGGGGCAGAGAGAAAAGGCAGAGCTGGTCTGGGAGAACCAGCCAGCCAAGGGAGCTGCCTCAGAGGTGTGCCCAGGTGCCCATCCTAGTGGCAGCAGAGGGGCACAGAAACTCAGAAACTCAGATACCGTCTGGGGTGGGGGGAGCATGTGTGTGTGTTGGTGTGCATGGCCCGAGGGTGTGCCCGTAGGGGCCCACGCGTGTCTTCATGGGGAACGCTGTACTCGGGGTGGGGACAGTGATTCTGTCCCTCAGAATCACATCAAAGGGGTTTATTATCCGACCCGCCTTTCCAGACGTCCAGTTCCATTCTCTTTTATTTTGGGGTCTCCCCGGTAGCACACTTCCCTCCGCACAAAGCCGCGAGCATCTGGCTAACTTCCCAGCAAGAAGGCACACGTCTCTGGGGGAACAGCCACAGCGTAAAGGACACAGTGGGATAGGTAAGACCCTCACCTCTCTCCTTTGCCCTCTGCCTGCCACCCACGGGTTAATTGAGAGGTGCCAGGCTCTAGAGCTGGCATAATTGACAGGAAAGTGTGGGCTGGGTTTTCTTGGAAGCTATAAATAGCAGTACCTGCTTTGGAAGCGCAAGGTACCCTCACCCTTAGCTCCTGGGCAGGGGGAAGAACAGAGAAGAGAGCAGGCATCTTGGGAGAGGGGTGCGTGGGGAGCTCAGCCAGGGGAGGGAGTGCAGGAGAATTGGGATGGAGCAAATGCCCAGCCTCACTCCCTTCCAGCCCCCCCGCCACCCCGGGGCAGGCTCTGTCCCACCCCAGCGCTCAGGCAGCCAAAGTGTCAGCTCTTCCTAGCCCTCTTCCTAGTCTGAGCTCCAAAGTGAGGTATTGAGGCTCCTTCCTAGCTGAAGCACAGCCAGGGGTGGACGCAGAGGAGTGAGAGAAGGGGCGAGAGGGAAAGTAGGGGGTGGTAGCAAGTCTGCGGCACACACTCAGGTGCGCACACACAGACACACATTTCACAGGCACACACACGCAAGTGCATGTTCCACATGCACACACACCATGCACACATTCCACATGCACGCACATATGCATATTCCACATGCATATTCCATATACGCACATGCACATTCCACATGCATACATGCACACACATGTGCACTTTCCACATGCACATTCCACATGCACACACATGCACATGCATATTCCAGACACACACATGCACATTCCACATGCACCTTCCACATGCATACATGCACACACATGCACGCACATGTGCACTCTCCATATGCACATTCCACGTGCACACACTCGCGTGTGCAAGGGTAGGAAATATAAGCGTCATGAGAAAGAGCTTGGCCTCCAGAGCAGAAAGAGCTGAGTCCATTCTGGCTCTGTTGCCTCAGTACCCCTAATCTCAGCCACTTCATCTGGAAAATGGGAATTATAATAGGACCGTCCTGTCGTAAGATTTACACAAGATGTTTGTGAAATTATTAGCACAGTCAGCCTGCACTAGATGCCAACAGTCAAACTAATTATGTAAGAGTGAAGCCATGGAGCTTCTGCTGAAGATCAGAGTCGACACGTTACGGAGCGAAGGAGAGCTTGAATCCGACCATGGCCCTGGCCGCCTTGGCCCCTATCCGGGGCATGTGCACCCTGAACTCCGAGCAGGCACCCCCTCGCTGAGTCTCTCCCAGAGAGAAAGGAGGCCTGGGGCCCTCGGCCACCGCCCTCTGCCGCCCCAACCCTTCCATGCAGCCCCCGCTGGGTGCTTCCTGCCTCTCCCACGCCTCGTACCATTCTCTCTCCCCCACCACTTTCTCTTTTCACGCCTGCTGGCTTAGGGCCCCCCTCCTCGGCTCCATCTGCTGCAAATCTGTCCCACCCCACGTTTGCAGCATTCCCACTGGGTCTACCACCTGTCAGGTGCCGTCTGCTCTGCCGACCCCTCCAAGATGGGCGAGAGCCCCCGAGGGCAGTCACCCCACCTCTGGTCCCACCCTCCTGGGCCCTCTTCCCCATCAAGTTTGATAAAGCTGGAGCAATCCAGGGATCCTGAAACTTCTACCTTTCAAAGCACGTGAGGCCAGAAAGTTCCAGAGTGAGAAGGTCGGTAGCAATTCTGCCTTTCCTCTCAGTCCCGACAGGACCCACCTCAGAGGGGAGCATGGAGCTGCTGTCCACGCCCCACAGCATCGAGGTCACCAACATCACCTGTGACTCCTTCCGCATCTCCTGGTCCATGGAGAACACCGACCTGGAGCGGGTCACCCACTACTTCATTGACCTCAACAAGAAGGAGAATAAGAACTCCAACAAGTTCAAGCACCGGGTGAGGCGAGGGCCCCCGGGCTGCTCCCGTGGCTCAGTGCAGGAGGAGGCAGGGGAGAGTCTGTGGGGAGATGGAGATTGGGGAGTCCCCTTCCCTACCCCCCGCCACAGCCCTCTTGCTGGGAAAAGGGCACCCCGTGTGTGCCAGCCACACATGCGCGGGAGGTAGTATTTGTGTGGTGCTTGGCTCAGGGCCCGCATGTAGCAAACACCGTATTGGCATCAGATGGGCTGGGGAAACCCAGCCTGGGGGCGCCAGGCACACCTGAGGACATCGACTCCGGGGGCCCACGAAGTCTCCAACTCAGAACCCCGCTGGGTGGATGGCTGCGTGGGTAATAGGAATCTTGGCTGGGTGCTCAGGGACCCCTGTCGAGCCCCTATTCCTCTCCACCTGTCACTGTCGTGGAGCTCAGGAGGGACCCAGAGGTGCCTCCTCCAGGCCCGGCCAGGGTGTCCTTCCCCGGGCTAACGCCAGCCTGGGGGTGGGTGGGAGGAAGGCTCCCCTGTCTCCAGCTGGCAGAAGAAGGGGGAGAGTGAGGTGGGAAGGAGCCCGCTCCCAGCTGCCTCATGCGGGTTACTCACCCTCTCTCTCTTTGGAACTGGCTCTCCCGATCTGGGTGTCTTTTGGCAGGCCAGTTGCCACGGTGACGTGAATGTTCAACACCACCCCCTGAGCCTCTCCCCCCCCCCAACCCTGAATAAGGCATGTTTTCCCTTCCTCCCTGGCTTCTCAGCATTTGCTGTTGCCTAGGAAACCGCACTGCCGTGCGCAACAGCTCGCAGAGGCTCCCTGAAAAAACGAAGGTCTCGCAGCTCCGTGACCCTCCACCCCGTGGCCTTTTCCTCCCTCGTTTCCAAGAGGATGGGCAGCGGGGAGTACAAGGGCTGGGACCAGGGGAGTGTCCCTCAGACCTTCCCGATGCCCACTGCTGGCTTCTGGACAGGACCAGGAGCCACGGCCACCTTTGGAGGAAGAGGGCCCACGTAGGGAGTAGGACATCGGGGGTGAAGGCATGACTGGGGACTTGGACACTTTGTCTGACCCCCGGGCTCTCTCTCTCTCTCTCTCTCTCTCTGCATCCCATTGCTCAGGATGTTCCCACCAAGCTTGTGGCCAAAGCTGTGCCCCTGCCCATGACCGTGCGAGGACACTGGTTCCTGAGCCCCCGCACGGAGTATAGTGTGGCAGTGCAGACGGCTGTCAAGCAGAGCGATGGGGAGTACCTGGTGTCCGGCTGGAGCGAGACCGTGGAGTTCTGCACTGGGGGTGAGGCCCTGGGGCACGCGGAGTGGCTTAGAAGGGGCCCACAAGAGGGCGCCATCTGGGGACACCTGCCCTCAGCCACACAGCAGGCCTAGGCAGAGGGGAGACACCGAGCGGCAGACCTAGCCCGCCCCCCCACGCCCCCCCTCCCCCGACAGCTTGGCCTCTGCAGCAGGGGGCAGATGGCACCACTGGCCATCTGAATGAGACGGCCAGTTGACAATCCCGCCTCTATAAAGGAGTAGAATAACATGTGTGAACCGTAGTCAAGGCATGGAATATAAAATTCACCATTTTAACCATTTTTATGTGTGCAGATAGCGCCATGCAAATTTGTATTCTTGATTTTTGGGGTTTTTTTTTGGGGGGGGTTAAACCCGGCCATGCACGGGGGCTACTCCTGGCTTTGCACTCAGGAATTACTCCTGGCGGTGCTCAGGGGACCCTATGGAATGCTGGGAATCGAACCCGAACCCAGGTGGCTGCGGGCAAAGCAAATGCCCTCCCCGCTGTGCTATCACTCCAGCCCCAAATTTACATTCTTATGCAATCAGTCTCCAGAATGTTTCATTTGGGGATGGGACTTGGGGGTGTTGCAATGCTTGGAATTGAACTTTGGCCTCGCTGCACTCCAAACCCTTGGAGCTATCTGTCTTCTTCGCCGTCCAGTCCGGGGTGTTGGAGATAGCTCTGGGGTGGGCAGTCTCCCCTGGTCTGTCTTCACCCCACACTCACCCACAGGGGTCTGTGCTCTCACCCCCATCCTGTTGGGCCCTCTACTCCTCCCAGCTTCCTCTCATTCCCGGAGCTTTTCAGTCTTCCGGAGCTAAAGTTTTATTCAAGAACACTCCTCCTTCCCCCCTCCCACCTACCACCCCCAAGCCCCCATTCTCTGTCCGTTGGATAGCGCAGGTGGATTTGTCCTCCCGCGGCTGGGCCGTCTCATTCAGCCTCAGCTCCTCCTGTGCTGTGGTGGCTGCAAACTTCCTTTCTTTTCCAGTTGAGTAATATCCCACATTTCCTCCGATCCCATTTTTTTGTTTATGGACCCTCTGTCAATGTCCACTTGGAAAATGACCCCTCTTCCCGGTCCTGCAGGCTCTCTTAGCAGAACTTGGCTTGCACATTCCAGCACGAAGAGCCAGCCAGCTTGTGTATAACTTGGTCACCCATGACCCAGGACCTACTCTCTTAGATGCTTTTGGTGTCCACAGCAAGGCTGCTGCGGATGTTCTTTGTCACAAAGAAGGGGACAGGAACATCCTTCGCCTCTGCTCAGTCCACTGCCTGAGTCTGTGTCCCGCCTCCATTTTGGGGGCCAGTGTTTTGCCTTTGTGGCAAAACCCTATTCTCTGGAGGGGTTACGTCTTGTGGAAAAGCCCATGGGTTGACCCCCAAAACCTGGGGAGTTGGGGGTCGCTCTAATCTTGCCTACTGGCCAGGGAGCCATCGTCAATAAGGAAGGGAGTCCTTTGCTAATTTGTGCAAAGGCGCTGCTTAGGCCCATTCAAGGCACAGAGTCCAGCCTGCAAACTGATCCGGGGCTGGAAGCAGTCATTGCGGGCTGTGGGCGAGGTCTAGGTCTCCTCAGCAGCCTGGGGTGGGGGTGGGAGGTCCCGCCATGACTGACTGGGCAGTCCCACCCCCACATTGACCCCAGCGCCGCAGAGAACAGCTGTGCCAACTCCTCCTGCTCGGAGCACGCCAGCTGGCTCCTGGGACCTGAGGACTGAGACGGGTGGGTGGGAAAGTGTGGATGGGGGCGGCGGAGGCTGTGATGCCCCGTTGGCTGCCCGGCCCTCGGCTCACCACCCAGGACTCTTGCAGATTACGCCAAGGAGCACCTGGCGCAGCTGCAGGAGAAGGCAGAGCAGATCGCCGGGCGCATGCTCCGCTTCTCCGTCTTCTACCGCAACCACCACAAGGAGTACTTCCAGCATGCCAGGTACGGCTGCGCTGGCCCCGCCCCCCACAGATCCTCTCTGCACCATGCATTGCTTGATGCCCTCCTTTGGAATGCAGGCTGACTCCGGGCGCTGGGGTATGGCTGCTGGGAATCAGGCTCCGGGCAAGGAGAGGGCACAGGATGAGACTCCCTGGGCACAGAGTGGCCTAGGGGGTGGGGGTGGAGGTGGGGGACAAGGGCCTGAGTTTGGGACAACTTCCCTGAGTCCTGGCCCAGAAGGGACACGATCTTTGCCATTCAGGCCCGTGGGGCTCCAGGCAGGTGGTGAAGGCCCTGGTTTTCAAATTTACAGTGCCAGGGAGGCTTCAGGGGAACCCCTTAGGGTGGCAACTTGCCAGGAAATCAGAGGATGGATTTGGGTGGGGCCCACTGAGTCCCACCCGTGTGTGCCATCCAACCAGAACGCCTTCTGTTGTATTTACCTATCTCCCAGCTATGCATCATCTCCCTGAGGAAAAATAAAAGTGAGGGTGGTGGAGTGTGTGTGTGTGTGTGTGTGTGTGTGTGTGTGTGTGTGGCGGGGGGTGGTGCCTATATTCCAAAACTGTTCGAAAATGAGGTCAAACATAGTACGATCCCCGGCAGCCCATTTGATCCCCTGAGCCCTCCCAGGAGTGGTCCCTGAGCCCAGCTGGGTGTGTCCCCCAAACAAAGCAAAACAAACTGGCTCTAAAAATTAGAGATCTTGGGGCTGGAGCGATGGCACAGAAGGTAGGGCATTTGCCTTGCATGCAGCCGACCTGGGTTCGATTCTCAGCATCCCCTATGGTTCCCTGAGCACTGCCAGGAGCAATTACTGAGTGCAGAGCCAGGAGTCACCTCTGTGCATCACCAGGTGTGACCCAAAAAGAAAGAAAAATAAATTGAGATCTGATCCAATTTCCCCAGCCCAACAGATGGGGAAGCTGAGGCACAGGGACCAGCAAGTGAGTATCACAGAGGACAGGCAGGACGAGGCCTGGATGGGCCTGGACCCCGGGGCTGCCCCTTCTTCCCCCAGCAGGGCCTGGTGATGGCATTCCCTCTCTTCCTGGGTCCCAGAAGTGACACTCACCCAGTTCAGGGCAGAAAGGGTCTTGGTGTTTGTGTTAGAGAGAGAGGCTGTGAGGTCACAGCTGGGGTACTTGGCTCTCCTACCAGATAGAACACATGCCAGCATAGGAGGACTAAAGGCACAGCCTCCATCCTCAAGGCCGAGCTTCTCAGCATCTCTGGTGGCTCAGACACACTGAGCGTAGCCAGCAGGTGCTTTTGCTGGGAGAGATTCCGTGTCCTGCGGGTGGGGCAGGCCTTTCGCTGAGTGCAGGTGCCTGGTGCTCTGGGAAGGTTTGTCAGAGGAAAGGGGAGCTTTGCCGAAGGGCCGAAGGGAGATGAGGCACTTGCTGGGCCTGGCGGGGAAGGTGGGAAGCGCAGAGCTCCAGGGAGCCAGGCGGGAAGGGTGTCAGGAGCTGCGGGTGCAGGTGTGGCCAGAGGTGGGTGGGGTGGAGCCTGAAAGACCAGCTCGGTGGCCTTGATTTTCATGCAGGGCCCTGTCAAAGGGATTTGCGCAGGGGAGTGGCGGGCGGGCGCGGTGCTCAGATCTCTCCTCCACGAAGGAGTGGGCTGCCTCAGCCCCTCTGCAGGGCTCTCCTCACTCTTGCGGGCACGGGAATGTGCTATTTGTGACGGGTGGAGGCGGCGGCGCGTGGGAGAGCCGGGAACCGAGCGGCCGCCGGGCTCCACCGGGCGTGCAGCTCGGCTCAGGGCGGCTCTTTTCCTCTTCCTCTGGGTAGGAACCACTGCGGCAACATGCTGCGGCCCTACGTGAAGGACAGCAGCGGCAGCCACGGCTCCCCGACCAGCGGCATGCTCCACGGGGTGTTCTTCAGCTGCAACACGGAGTTCAACACGGGCCAGCCCCCGCAGGACTCCCCCTACGGCCGCTGGCGCTTCCAGATCCCCGCCCAGCGCCTCTTCAACCCCAGCACCAACCTCTACTTCGCAGACTTCTACTGTATGTACACGGCCTACCACTACGCCATCCTGGTGCTGGCCCCCAAGGGCTCCCTGGGGGACCGCTTCTGCCGTGACCGCCTGCCCCTCCTGGACATTGCCTGCAATAAGTTTCTGACCTGCAGCGTGGAGGACGGGGAGCTGGTCTTCCGCCACGCCCAGGACCTCATCCTGGAGCTCATCTACACCGAGCCAGTCGACCTGTCCCTGGGCACGCTGGGCGAAATCAGTGGGCACCAGCTCATGAGCCTGTCCACTGCTGACGCCAAGAAAGACCCCAGCTGCAAGACCTGTAACATCAGCGTGGGCCGCTAGGGACTCCTGGGGAGCAGGGGTGGGGGGAGGGGGGCCCGGCGAGATGACAGGCGGGGCGGCTTGGGTGGCTTCTCTCCCTCTGCACCTTCGTCTCCCCGCCCCACCCTTTGGGAGATCAGAGGCCTCCAAGCTTGGCCTTGTGGTGGGCACCTTCGCGCATGCCCCCGGGGAGTTGGACAGGCTTCTCGGCTTGGTCCGTGGTGGGGTGTGTGTGTGTGACATTGCTGGGACCTCCTCCTCCCTTTCCTCTGGTGTCCTGTCCTGCTGTTTCTAGCCTCGTCCCAGGCCCCCTTCCCCCTGCCCCCCCACCCGCCCAGTCTCAGGAAGACCTGCTGTCTCGACCCCACCCCCCCACCCCCAGGAAGCCCGCGTGGTATTTGCCTGCCGCCAGATGAGGAGCAGAGCGCTGTGGGTACTCTTCCTTAGCTGCACCCTCCCACCCGGGGTCCCCCCCTGTAAAAAAAGGGGGTCCGACCCAGCCTTTCCCTCTATAAATAGTCTCCCGCACCGCTGGACCCTGGCTGCCCGTCGCCGAAGCACCCTCTTCCTGCATGGGGAGAGCCCCCCCCACCTCCTTCACCCCACCCCGAGAAAGGGCCCTCCTGTATCCCCCCTGGGTTTGGGGGGGTCTCCGGGCTGCTGGGATTTTTCTTTGTCCTCTCCCTGCAGATAACCCGTCCCACAGTGAAACTTCTCCCTTGCCCAGGGTCCTGGGACCAGGAATCACATTCACTGGGGTCGAGGAGGGGGAATGGACACCCCTGAGACCCAGAGAGACCCCCGCCCTCCCCGGGGAGCAGGCTGCCTTGTGGCCGCGGGGGGGGGGCCGAGGGTGGGGGTGGGAGTGGGGGTCTTCCCACAGCGTCCTGGCTGCGTGCTTTGCTCGCTGCTCTGCCACGACCCTCCTCTGCACTCTGTGTGTGTGTGTGTGTGTGTGTGTGTGTGTGTGTGTGTGTGTGTGAGATCTGGATTGTGGCTCTGTGCCTCCCCCGCCCCCCTCCAGCCCACTGGCAGAGAACATCCTCCCTGGGGAGCTGCTGGGTTCAGCCACATTCCCACAACTTTGCTACTCCTGCCCCGTCCTGAGGGTGGTGCCATGGTGGGGGGAGGGGTCTGGGCTTTTGGGGGGGAGGGATGGGGGTGCCGCTGGCTGTGTAGGGGCTGGTGGAAGAGACGTGGGGTGTAGAAGAGCAGCCGCCCGAGGGACAGGCAGACAGAGAAGGCCGGCGGCCCGGGCAGGCCAGACCTCAGCGAGGGCAGGTGGGACAGCTGGTGGCCTCTCTGTGTCCAGGGCGGGCAGTGTCGCAGGCTGTCTCCACAGCGGGCACAGAAGGTCTGGGCACCTGCAAGCTGCATGGAGGAGGAGGAGGAGGAGGAAGAGGACGAGGGGGAGGAGAGGACGTGGGCGCCCCAGGCCCCTCCGCTGTCAGCATCTCTTGGGGGGCAGCCCGCTGCCTCCCTGCCCCCCAGGCACCTGCCTGTGCTGTGCTTGCGACCGTGTGCAACAATAAACCGTCCAGGTCTGAGTATTGCCTGTGTGTGTCCGGAAGGGCGACTGCGCCAGAGGTGCCCCAGGACCGGCTGCCTGGCGCCCCCCAGAGGCTTCCCCAGACCCAGCTGCATAGGACTCTGGAGCAGAGCCACCTCTCCCGAGTGGGAGGCATTTGGTGGGACCCTGCGCTGGCAGGTGGGGAAACTGCAGCATCCTGGAAGCCCAGCCCAGGTCCCCGAGGCCCTCTGTGAAGTGCTGCCCTGGCCTCTGACCCAAATGGCCCCGAGCTTCTCCCCAGATCCCTGTGTCCCCTCCTGCCCAGCAGGGCTCTTGGTCTGAGTCACCTCTGCGTCTATCATGGACTCGTTCCAGTTGAGCCTCTGCTGGGGGAAGGCTCCAGAAAGCCAGTCACCTCAGCAGGACGCCTGGCTCAGGCCCAGTGTGCCAACCAGCAGAAGGGCACAGCCTCGGGGCCAGCAAGAACAATAGGTTGCAAGAGGCCTCTCTTTCTGTTAAAAAAATTTTTTTTCCCACTGTGGTTTACAAAGTTGTTCATGATGCATTTGTTTCTGGCATTCAATATTCCAGCACCCATTCCACCACCAGTGTGACCTTCCCTCCACCATTGTTCTCATCTTCCCAGCCACTGCCCCCCCCCAGCCTGTCTCCTTAGCAGGTCCAAAATAATTTCTTTTTCTATTGCTTGTTACAACTAAATGGAAAACTACAGAACGCTTCACAAATTTGCATGTCATCCTTTACAGGGGGCCATGCAAATCATCCCTGTCTCGTGCCCCTTTAGTATGTGTGCTGCCCAGGCGAGCACAGCTGCCCCCTCTTGCAGGCCTACTGTGTGCGGGCATGTGGCTGCTGGCTGCTCTTGCACCAGGCAGCTCCTTCAGAGCTCAGAGTACCGGGGGGCTGTATCATTCCCTGTGAGTGGGAGACAGAGGCACAGTGAGGTTGTAGGCCGGCCCATGTCTGGCAGCAGATCACGGTGCCCAGGTTTTGCTTCTGAAGTGGGACTCCTCCAAGTTCACGGTCCTACCCGCCACACTGTACACCAGGGGCCATGGGGACGGACAGTAAGGCAAGGACTGGACCCCCCCCTTCCCCTGCATCTCGGCTGACCAAGGCCATGCCTCTGAGTAGCACCAGGGGGCGCTGTGGAGTTGCAGATAATCCTTGAGGCTTATTCTGAGCAGGCACCAGTTTCGAGGCCCGAATTCTAGACTTGATGGATCTCAAGGGTCTGTCCACTGGTTGTCTGGGCACCCCCTTCTGCAGTAGCTGCAGGGTTTCAGAGATCCCCGAAGAGTCAAGCTTCAGCCTTGCCCTTCTGGGTTCCTTGGGAGAAGGGACTGGCTCTCCTGTCCTTTGCGGAGGGGGTGGGGGTGATCGGAGGTGCCTCTGTCCGCAGCAGTCTGCTCCTCCTTCCCCTCTCCAGATGGCCAGTCCTGGGCTGCAGGATGCTGGCCAGATGGAGATAGCTCTGGTCATCTGCTGGGATCCGCCTGGGGCCCCTTGTGGCCTGAGTCCCTCTACCCTGACCTCGTGGAAGGAGAGCGAACCCGAGCTCGAACGCAGCGGCCCTGCAAGGAGAGTCCACCTGGGCCTGCAGCTGCCGCGGTCAGTGGAGGACGCCGGAACCAAGCCTGCTCTGGTGTGGGCAGGAAGGGGTACAGGAAGGCCTCCTGGGGCACAGCGAGGGTCCATACCCAAACACGACAACATGAACCTGTGCACACATGCTCACACCCTCCTACATTCCTCCCTCTCCCCCCCTCCTAACTCCCTCTTCTCCCCACCTCCTCTCCTCCCTTTTTCTTCCTGTCTCTTCTCTCTCCTCCTCTCCCTCCTCCCTTATTCCTCTCCCTCCTCCTTTCTTCCTCTCCCTCCTTCTTCCTCTCCCTCCTCCCTTCTTCTCCTCCCTTCTCTCCCTCCTCCCTTCTTCCTCTCCCTCCTCCCTTCTTCCTCTTCCCTTCCTCTCCCTCCTCCCTTCTTCCTCCTCCCTTCCTCTCCCTCCTCCCTTCTTCCTCTTTCCTTCCTCTCCCTCCTCCCTTCTTCCTCTCCCTCCTCCCTTCTTCCTCTCCCTCCTCCCTTCTTCCTCTCCCTCCTTCCTTCTTCCTCTCCCTCCTCCCTTCTTCCTCTTCCTCCTCCCTTCCTCTCCCTCCTCCCTTCTTCCTCTTCCCTTCCTCTCCCTCCTCCCTTCTTCCTCTCCCTCCTCCCTTCTTCCTCTCCCTTCTCCCATCTTCCTCTCCCTCCTTCCTTCTTCCTCTCCCTCCTCCCTTCTTCCTCTCCCTCCTCCCCCTTCTTCCTCATTCTCTCCCTCACTTTCTCCCCTTCTCCCCCTCTTCCATTCAAGCCTATACCCATACTTGCCTGCCTCTTCCATTCTTCTTGGGTCAGCCCCAGTGGCTGACAATCTCCCCAAGATTGTGAGGGGGGCCTGGTCTAAGGACCAGCTCTAAGGACCCTCACCATTGGTCCTGGCTTCTGTTTCAAGTCTTTTCTCTGAGTTAGAAGAGAGGTGCTGGGGCACCAAGGGAGGGGTGGGGGTCACTTCCCCAGTGGAGGGGGCTTCAGGAAGTAGAGCTGAGGTGAGCGGCCACAGAACAGCTGGGCCACAGCATCTGCAGGAGACTGGGTCCAGCTGCTCCTGGATGGGGGTGTGGGGGTGGGGTGGAGGGGGCCCGAGCAGAGCAGGCTGGCCAGCAGGAGGCTGAGCTGGGGCCTCCACGTTCTCCCGGGGAAAAGACATCTGGTTGCCATCTCCCCAACTCCCCAAACCAGGCAGGACTATTTTTGCAAATTGGAGCAGCGAAGCTTTTCACGAACTCTAGAATCTGCTTCGTGCGCAGTGACAGTCGAGCACAGGGTGTGTCTTGGGAGGTGCCCAGAAAAGCTACCAGCCAGCCAGAAATATGTCCCTCCGCCCGCAAGCCCTGCCCCGCTGCGGGTGACGCGTGGCCCTGTCTCCCTCAGCTCCCCGGCCGGCTGGCAACGAGGGTACCAGAAGTTTCCTCCCAGCAGAGAGGAGCGTCCAGAGCCTGGAAACTTGTGTGGCAGAGGAAATGAAAGAGGCCTATTTCTGGAGACGTCTGCTGGCCAGGTCCAGACGGGCTCTGTCAAAGCACGGCTCATTCCCTCCTCGAACCCCAGGGCCGCTGCCATGCCACGTGTCCAGAGGAAGGAACCGAGGCTCAGGGGACTCGGTGACTGCAGGGTGCCCAGTGCCCCACGGCAGTGCGTGCCCCCTGGCAGTGAGCGCCCCATGGCAGAATGCATGTGCCATGACCGAGTGGGCACCAAGGGCAGAATGTGCGCCCCATGGCAGTGAGTGCCCCGTGGCAGAGTGCACACCCACACCACTCTGCTCTCTGGCCTGCATCTTTCCCATGACTGGGAAGCAGGTGGAGTGCGGGGTGGGGGCAGGGCAGGGGAAGGAGAGGAGCGCCCACTTCCTCTCTCCAGCTGTCAACTGAGCTGACACCCACCAGCCAGAGGGCCCCCCCTGCCTGCCCTCCCTGGTTGCCTGGAGACTGGACGTCTGGTGTGGGTCACCTCGGCCCGGCAGGAGGGGCTGCTCCTGCAGAGGGAGCAGAGACCCAGGAAGGGGCAGCCTGTCCGCAGCACGGTGCTGAGATGCAGGCGGGGGTCCTCATGCTGTGAGGGGGGCTGGAGAGAAGCTCCCCGGGGTGGGGGCTCCTGGGCTGGGGCGAGCTGTAGCCTGTAGCGCTGTGGGACCACTCAGGAGGGATCTGGCGTGAGACGGGGAGAACCCTGGGCGGCCCAGCAGCTCCGCTGGTGCTGGTCAATCCAGAGCCCAGAAGCGGGGGATGGTACACAGCCAGAGAGCCACGCCAGAGCCACGCCAGAGAGTAACACCAGAGAGCCACACCAGAGCGCCACGCCAGAGTCACACCAGAGTCACACCAGTCACACCAGAGTCACACCAGAGAGCCACACAAGAGAGCCAGCCCAGAGAGCCAGCCCAGAGTCACACCAGAGTCACAACAGAGTCACACCAGAGAGCCATGCCAGAGAGCAGCCCAGAGAGCCACGCCAGAGTCACACCAGAGAGCCAGTCCAGAGAGCCACGCTAGAGTCACGCCAGAGTCACACTAGTCACAACAAATATCCATGCTGGAGAGCCACCCCAGAGTCACACCAGTCACACGGGAGAGCCACGCTAGAGTCACATCAGAGAGCACACACCAGAGAGCCACACAAGAGACCACAAAGCAGAAAGCACACTCAGCAGTGCTGGATCACATCCTCAGACCAGTGAGCACTGGAGAGAGAGCCACCCAGAGCCTACCAGTGCCCCTGTACCCCTTCCCCTGTCACAGCTCCCCTTCCCCTCTCCCGGCCCCCCACACCCCTTCCTTTCCTCCCAGTGCCCCCCCCCAGCCCCTTTCTCCTCTCCTGCCCGTCAGCACCTCCACCATTGGTACCCGGTGTTGTGTTGCATGCGTGCAAGCCCTGGGGTGAGCCCTGACAGGCTGTGGCCCCACTTCCTGGGCACTCAGCCTCTGAACTGCTGTGTGGACCTCCTGGATGGGTCGCCAAGATCCAAACCGGCTCCCTGGAGTGGTTTGGGGCCCACACGGCTGCAGCGCTTGAGTCGGGGGTGTGTTTCCAGCCTCTGCTACTGCCGCTCACGGAGCAGGCCGGAGTGTGCAGCGCTGACAGTTCCAAGACAGCAGCCCAGGGGACTGTCCCCGTGGTGGCGCCAGCTTAGGGTGCAGGTCTGGGCCCCCTGGGCTAATGGGCTCTTCCCAGGGTTTGAGTTTCAGGGGAGTAGGAGGGGGTTGGAGAGGGGCCCACAGCCATGGTGGACGATGTCCAGTGACCAGCAAAGTGTCTGGGGGAGGGGCCAGAACGCTTCACCAGTTTGGGGGGGCTTTCTTTCCTTCTTGAGCAGGCCCCTGCATCCCCAAGCACCCTGGCCAGAGTATGTAGGAACAGGGAGAGGACAGCAAGACTCAGAGCCCCCCCAAGGGCCCTGCTGAGCTTCCAGGACTGGCCGAGGCAGGGTGGAGCTCGGGGCTGCAGGCAGCCCAGCAACTCCCACGCACCCTGGGCAGGTCCTCCTGCCCAGCCCACCTCTGCCTGACACACCTGTCCCATTCACGGGGTGGGAGGCATTCTGCCTGTCAAAGGCCACCAGCACACACACTCCAGAGCCTCGCGGGGGGTTTTGGGCTCTGGCTTGCTGGCTCCCTGGGATGGACCGTGGTCCTTCCTGGGAGGTCCACGTGTGGGTTAGGGCAAGCTGTGGAGGCCTCTTCGTCCATCCGTCCCCTGCCTGGGGAGACAGGAGGTGAATACCAGACCAGACTTGCCTATTTGGGGCAACCTGGGACAAGGGGCCAGGGGCTGTGCCCGACGCTGGGGGCTGCAGGTTCTGGGCACACCCTCCCCTGAAGCTTAGCCTTCCTAGCCGAAAGCTGGTGCATGCAGTACACACCCGACTTCTCCATACATGTGGAAGGAAAGCCCCAGCCCTTCCCATCCTGCCTCCTCCAGCCCACCCTGTCAGTCTGTGTTTGTGTGTGGAGCGTGAAATCACACCCTCGGGGGGTCTAGAAGTGGAGGGAAGGATGGGAGGCAGCCAGTGAGGACCACACATCCGGAGCCACGGCCAAGGCCACACAGCATCCCCCCTGCCCCCTAACACACATACACACACACACAGACACACACACCCCAGGACAGGAGCGTGGCTGTAACACTTTTGTTTATTGGCTGCGTGCCCCGGGAGTGGCAGGCCAGCCTGTCTGGTTCCCCCTCCCCCTCCCCTTCCTCTCCCTACCCCCATTCCGGGGGGCCGTGTAAAGAAGCAGCTCAGCCCCTGGAGACAGGGGGTCGCAGAGGCTTAGAACAGAACCAAGTGGAGGTTGGAGCGGGGGCGGGGGGCACGCGTGCTACAATGCAGATCCCCCCAGCTGGACGGGTCCAGTGGGCAGCCCTCCCAAGGCTGGGCCCCCAGCAGGGGCCACTTCAAGTGTGTCAGTGAGGGCTCTGGTCCCGCCCCATCACAGTGAGGGCTGAAGGGCTGTGGGGACCCGCTCTGGAAGGAGTCCAGTTCCCCGCTTCCTGCGGGCAGCCTCGGGGGCGGGGGCCCGGGTGCCCGACTTCCACCCAGTCCCCGCTGCTCTGTCCAGATGGCCGAGGGCAGCAGGCCAGTACCGGCCACTGTCACTTCCTGCTGTGCAGTGTGTCCTGGAACTTGGTGCTGGTGTAGCGCAGGTGGAAGCCTTTCTTGGTGATGGTGTCGTCCGAGTGGAACTTCACCAGGACGGAATCTCCCGCAGAGTACACCTCCTCGGGGGGCTGAGGGGCAGAGAAGGGAGCAGGCTGAGCCTGAGAGAAGGGTGCTCCCCGCCCAGACCCCTGACTTCCACCCCACGCCCCACTCCTCATGGGGATGGGGGGGGGAAGGCATCTTCTTCCTGGGGCCCCTGGAGGCGGCAGGGATGGGTGGCTTGTGTCCGGTTGGGAGTCAGAATGCGGATGGGCTCGTGAGCGGGTGCCTGTCAGAGGCAGGGTGCTGGCCCTGTGTGGCCCCTGGTCCCCTCAGCTGCAGACAGGGATGGACGCCCTCTGTGCATTCCCAGCCTTGGGGAGCAAGTGCAGACCACCAGGGTTCTCAGAGACCCCGGGCCGGGGTCCTTGGCCCCGTGGTGCTCCATCAGGATGTTCCTGCTGCCCACGGCTCTCATGTCTGGAGGCCTGGCTACAGGCGGATCCTTTCTGAGGACCCCTGGCTCGTGTCCAGCCACCGTGCCCAAAAGAGCCGTCGGCACCAATCCTTCCCCAGTTCCCCTGGTCGGCTCTGGCAGGGCCACGGCAAGTCATGGGACACTTGATTAGGCGTGAGTCACCGGTGTGTGACAGACCAAAGCAGGGGCGCAGGCTGAAGCGGACAGACCAGGGGGTTCCCCACCCCGCATTCCTGTCCTCTGCCGTCCAACAGGCCTGGAAGCTCTGCGCGGCCAGGCAGGGTGGAGCGGCTGCGGCAGTTCCCGAAGGTTCCGCCCGAACGTGCGGGGCAGGGGCCGGGCAGGTAATGGGGAAGGGGCGTCTGAACGTTTGAAAGGAAGAGGAAGACAGCATTCTCCGAGGAAGACAAGGTTGGGAAGAAGAAAAGGTGGCACCAGGGAGACAGGGCAGTGCTCAGGGACACAAGTGCAGGGTGTAACCTCCAGCCCCACACCCTGGGGGACGGCCTTGGGGGGCCCTAGCAGGGGCCCAGGCAGCTCTGCATGCTCAGGCTGGAGCGTGAAATCGCTCCTTCTGGCTGGCCACGGATCACCGGGAATGACCCTGGGATCCCCCGAGTACTGCGTGGGCGGTCCAGAAAAGAAAGGAACAAAAAAACAAAACAGCGAAGACTCAAGTCCGACGGGAGTTTGGTGGTTCCACCTTTGTGGCCAACCTCCGCCTCCCCCTGCCTCGGCAGCAGCTTTCCTTCAACGCCCCCCCCCCCCCCCACACACACACTGCCCAATGCCTGGAGAGCAGAGTGGGAGTGGACAAACAGGTGGTGGGGATCTGGGACAGTGACAGGAAGTCAGAGGGGCAGACAGGGGGACTGCCTGGGCCCCCACCCCGCCCCTGCTCCCAGCCACTGCCCCCCACTCAGGCCCGCTGAGAGACTGGCACGTTGGAAGAAAATGAGGCAGGTGGGTGGAAACTATCCCTTTCCAGATCCAAGCTTCCCCGGGAGACCCAGTCAGGTCGGGGTAGGGCATGGGCTGCAGGGACCAAGGGGACCCAGATGCCTAGGGGGGGTGTCTCGGGGAGCAGCTGGGCCCCCTCACGCGCAGGGCCAGAGGCAATGGCTGGCACTGGGTCTGGCCCAGGGGCGGGGCAGGGGTCCTCACCCCTGAGCCACAGTAGCGCCCCAGCCTGGGGGCTGTGCTGTCGTAGCCGTCGAAGAGCTCCATGTAGTCGTAGCCACAGTCCGTCTCCTCCTCCACCTCGAAGGTCTGGAACACAAGCTCCACACCATAGCCCTCCTCGGCCACGATGACCCACTCGCAGTCCACTCCTCCGGGGTAATTATTGTCGCCGAACTGGGCGTGGGAGTAAAGGTCCTTGGTCTTCACCTCTGCCCGCACCTGGCCTCCACACTCTGGGGGGTGACAAGAAGGACCACCATGCCCTGAGCTGAGCACGTGGGGGGAGGGCAGGCAGGCAGGTGGGGCACGGCCACTCGCCACCTGCCAGCCTGGGCATCTGTGTGTGTTTGCAGGCAGGCAGCACCGGCACCAGGGCGGAGGAAAGCTCAGAATGTCGCCTGTCCAAAGAGGACGTGGCTCATGGGCTCTGGTGGACGTATGTCCACTTTTTTTTCTTTTTTCTTTTTGGGTTACACCCAGTGATACTCAGGGGTTACTCCTGGCTCTGCACTCACAGATCACTCCTGGCGGTGCTAGGGGCACCATATGGGATGCTGGGAATCAAACCCGGGTCGGCTGCGTGCAAGGCAAATGCCCTATCCGCTGGGCTATCACTCGGGCCCTGTCCACTTTTTGTGGAAGAAGGTGGGTTCCGTGTTGCCAGAGCTCCTATCCTTAAAAGAGAAGCTGACAACCCCCTTTAAAAAAAAAAGGACATTGGCTCAAGATTTTAAAAAAACACACAGTGTGGGCCAAACACAGCAGGTCTGAGGCCAGATGGCGTTCTGGGGTGTTCTGGGCCTCGAGTTGGAGCCCCTACGCCAGACGCTGGGGAGGGCAGGCGCCATGTCCTCCGGGTGCCCTCTGGCCTCGACCTCCACACCTGCAAGGGAGGGGAGGCAGGCAGGGAGGCAAAAGGGAGGAGGAAAGTGGTGGGACACAAGCTCTGCACAGACCCCCTCGGCCTGCGGACTCCACCCTCGGATACCCAAGGGCCGCCCAGGAAGTAGCCTCTGTGGCGGCAGCATTTCCACGTCACTGCTGTCCTCCTGCCTATTACTCTGGCCAGTCCACAGAGGCCATGCAGGGGCCTGACCAGGCCCGGCCTGCTGCTGCCATGACTGAGGCCCGCTTGTCCTTGCATCTCTGCTGTCATAGCCGTCGTAATCTTATCTTGCGCTGGAGTCTGAGTTCCTGGAGTGCCCAGGCCTGGTTTATCTCTGGGTCACTGTGACTGTCACTGTCTTCCCGTTGTTCATCGATTTGCTTGAGCGGGCCCAGTAACATTGTGAGACTTGTTACTGTGTTTGGCATATCGAATACATCACGGGGAGCTTGCCAGCCTTTGCCATGTGAGTGAGATACTCTCAGTAGCTTTCCGGGCTCTCCGAGTGGGGCGGAGGAATCAAACTCAGGCTGGCCATGTTGGCAGCATGCAAGGCAAATGCCCTACCCACTGTGCTATCACTCCAGCCCCATCTCTGGGTACCCCTTGGAATCTTCTTGCAGAGGGCTGGAACTCAGGAAGAAAACTGGTTTAGTTTTTGCTTCTTTATTTGTTTGTTGTTTTGGGGCCACACTGGCTCTGAGCTCAGGGATCCCTCCTGGTGGGCTCGGGGGGGGGGATGCATATTGGATGCTGGGGATCGAATCCGGTCAGCTGTGTGCAAGACCAAGTGTGTTTTCTGCTGTACTATCGCTCCAGCCCGGGAAAGCCAGTACTGAACGCAGGAGCAAGAAACCCCAAGACGGACCCTGAAGACTGGCTGTCTATTCTGCTCCTTTTGGGGAACCCCCCAGAATGTGACCTCCTGGACCGCAGCGATAGTGCAGCGGGTATGTGGCCTTGCATGTGGCCTCCCCAGCTTCAATCCTCAGCACCCCTCACAGTTCCTCAAGGGAGCTCTGAGCCCTGCTGGGTGTGGTCCCCAAACCCAAAACCAAAGAATGCAGCCTCCGACCAGCAGCACGGTGTCAACAGGTGCAGAAGGAATGGGGGGGGGGGTGGGACGTGGGCGTCTCCTTCCCCAACACCCCCTTCCTCTCCTGCCTCCCCACCTGGCTTTTCCCATGCCTCTCACAGCCCGCAGCTTGCACCGAAGCCCCCCACCCTGGGCCTGCTGAGGGGTCCGGGACAGAGGGCGGGGTGTGGCTCACCCGTGGAGTGGGCTGCCTGGAAGCCCTTCCGCTGCACCGAGTTATCCGAGAAGAAGCGCAGGAACATGCGGCTGCCCGTGGCCAGGACGGGCTCCGGCTTCTTGCTCCCACAGAAGCGGCCCAGGACGGGCGCCTTGGCATCACGCCCATCGTACACCTCCAGGTGGTCGTAGGCACATTCGGGCTGGGACTCGATGTCCATCTCCATGAAGGTCTGGGGGACCCCGGGGAGGACAGTCAGGAAATGAGCGGGGCCGGGGCAGGTGGCTTAAGGATATCAAGGGAAAGGGTGGCCATCCCCCCCCCACCCGCCCCGCCCCGGCTGGTGGGCGGCCAACAGGGCAGGTCCAAGAACGGGGTGGTATCAGGCACACCCCGGATAGAGACTGGGAAAGAGCCTCCGTCCTAACCAAACTGGAAGGTTCTCGCATGCAGCCATGTGGACTCGACCTGGTCACTCCCTGGAGGGACCCTGACTTTGAGGATGACTATGGGGAAGCTGGTGACGGCCACAGGGCATAGAGAAGTCAGAGTGTGAGTGCGGGCTGGGGTGACTCACCAGCTTGACCCGGTGCCCAGGGGTGCTGGTGATGGCCCAGCTACAATCCTTCTTGCTGGGATATTTGTCAGGCCAGTTGGGGCTGGTGATGGTGCCACTGGTGGACGTCACTTTGTGGTCACAGCCAGCTGTGCAGAGGTGAGGGACAAGGTGTCAGCAGGGATCCCGATGCCCTCCAGTAAGTCCTTACCCCATTTCGCCCTCTTTCTATCTTCATGTTCTTGCTGCCCGCTGAGAGGCTGGGTGAAGGTGGGCATCCCATCTGCACCATTCAACTCCCCACACTGGGAACTCTAGCCCTGGGTGGCTGCCAACTCCCCCTGGTATCCTGCCAGGCCTCTACTCTGGTGGCCTAACTCAGGTCTCGCCAGCCTCTACTGTCCCTCCCGGGAGATGCCACCCAACACACAGACAGTCCCTCCAGCCTCCTTGCACCTTCTCAGCTCTGAGCATTTCTGGATGCTACAAATCCATCACCCTCTCTGTGGTCCTTTCCTCAGGCTCTCGCTCTCTCTGAATAATTCTCTGCCTCTAAGGCTGAAATACACCTCCATAGTCTCAGTTCCTGGAATTCCTTTGCCCCCCTCTTCAGCGGGGCCCCAAGTGGCTGGTCACCCTGACCTTCTCATCCAATACTGGTGCCTCCAATGCGGCATCTTGGAAAACTCTGCCCACAGTTGCCAGCCAGCAGGGGCAGGTGTTGGGGGCACAAGGCTGCGGCTGGGGTGTGTGAAGTTATTTGGGGTACCAGGTTAGGGCAGTGGTCTCGCAGGATGCCCAGTGGACTGGGCCCAACTCCTGCCTGCACATTGGAGCTGGCGGCAGTTTCCCACATCCACTGTGCACCCCCACTTCTGCCCTGGTCCTTCTGCCCCCAGTGGATGGTGATCTCTCGGGCACTTCTCATGAGCCCCAACAAGATCTGCCCTCTGCTGCCCGCCCCGCCTTGCTCAGCTGTGCCGGAAATTTGGACCGATCCGTGCCTCATTCTGGAGCACGAAGCCGTGAGCACTTCTCAAGGGTCTCGGAGCTCCACACACGGAACCCGTGTGCCAATCCTCCCTGGCTGACCTGGAGCCCAGGGCTCTCTAGCAAACCCCTTTCTCGGTGATGACCAAGATGGAATGCAGTTTAGACCAGAGCCACGGAAGGTCCCCTCTGGCGAAAGGATGTGGGAGCCCAAGGAGGCCACGCTTGGTGGGGGTGTGGGGGCAGGGGGTGACCGGGCATGAAATGCAAGACGGGGTTATGGTGCAACTTTCCCGCCCGTTTATTCTGACTGCATCTTAGTGTCCGCCTCGTAACTGGGCAGAGGCATGAATCGGCCAGACAACACACTGAGCTCAAAGCAAGGTCTGCGCTGGCCAGAACTCCGCAAGGTGGGGACGTTTTTATCATCTCGTGGGTGAGGCGCCTCACCCGGAACCGTGCTGACCCTCAGCAAGTGCAGAGGAAAGCCTGCCGGGCGGGCCTCAAGGGAGCGGTCCGGCTGGGACGGGCACGACTGAGCCGTGGCCAGGGCTACAGGCGTGCAGCCATGCGGCCTCTGCATACTGGCCAGGCTCTGGAAGGGTTCAGGGGACTCGGGCCCTGCTCTGTCTCTGACCCCGGGGTTCTGAAGCACGTCCAATCACATGGGTGGGCTTCACTGAGCGCCAGGCACCCTCTGCAGCCCTACGACCCTGGGGACAGCATCATCATCGAGTGAGAGCAGGGAGGAAGCGGGGACAAAGAGAGGGCGTGAGGGGCAGGGACGGGCCCCAGTGACCCATGCTGTCCTGGCCAGCGGCCAGAGGACCAGCTCCACCCAGAGTGACCAGGATGTGGGAGCACTAACCACACAGGGTCGAGAAACGGCACCTTGGCAGCGCAGCGGGCAGCGTCTCCCATCCTGATGGGACAGAAGACCCCGAAGGTCTCCAATGGGGTGGGGGGTGGGGATGGGTTTCTGAAGACCCACAGGGGGCCCGAGAGGTCATGACCTAAGTTCCTGCAGCTCCTCAAGTTGGACAAGGCCCGGGGGGGGGGCACCTTTGGCGCCCTGGGGCCCCAGCTCTGGGTGTGCAAGGAGAACCAGGCAGGCCTTTACCTTCCTTGCAGTCGTGCTTGTTGTCATGGAGGACGAAGCCACTGCGACACTGACACTCGTAGCTCCCGAAGGTGTTGACACAGTCCTGTTGACAGCCTCCGTTGTCCTTGGAGCACTCGTCCTTGTCTGCAGGGGGACAGGAAGCCCGGTCGGTGCAGGGCAGAGACTGCACACCCTGGGTGGGGGTGGAGGGGGGCCGAGGGGACCAGGGGTCCTGCCCTCAGCATCAAGCAAGACTGGCTGGGATGGGGGGGTGGGGGAGGTCGAGGAAGGGGGGGAGGGCCGGCCGGGCTCTGGAGCCGAGCACCGGGCACCCACTACCATTACCTGCTTACTGGACAGACGGACAAGTAGAAAAACAGACACATGGACAAGCAGACTGCGAGAGAAAGGGACAGGACGCGGGGGTCCCTCTTTTACTTCACAACAGGAAATGGCACAGACACCATCCAAAAAAACGGGCCCAAATGGGCAGGGCGGGTGGGGAGCACCAATTCTGTCCGGCGGGAGGAGGGAGCCGGATGGCAGAGTGGGGGGGGGGAGGGGCGGACGGGCGCCGGAGCACCCCTATCCGTCCGTTCTGTCCGAGGTGAGGTTCCTGAGTAACAAGGGGCCGGCCGGGAAGGCCTGGCGGGCCTCACTGGGGGGTCCGGTTTCTTTTCTGCACTCGGAATTTGAGCTGGTGGGGGCGTCCCCGGGGGGACTGCGGAGCTGGCTTCTTTTCTGAAACGAGAGAGACAAGGAGAAAGGGACCGAGGGGTGGGGGTGGGGGCAGGGGGCAGGGTGGGGGGGGGAGAGCGGTGAAAACCAGCCTCGGAGGCTTGGGCCGGGCGGCAGCAGGACATGCATGCAGGATGGCCATGTCCGAGCAGCCAGGAGAAGTAGGAGGAGGCACAGCGCCGGCGTGGGGGGAGGCGGCCTGGGGGGGGGGGGGCGGCGGGGATGCCCTGGCACGGGAGGGAAGCCGGGCAGGACGGGAGGGTGGGGCCGGGAGGCTGGGCACTCCAGGTTGGCCACAGCAGCTCTAGCGTCCTCTGACAGACACAGGCACAGCCACAGACCCCCGGGGGCGGTGGGGAGGAGGGGAGGTTGGCCCTGACACGCACCTCAGACCTGGACCCCCAGGAACACACAGGACATGGCCCACCCGGCACAGACCCTCGGCCCTCAGCAGTCGGTGACATCCACAGCTGCTCACTACCCGTCCCCCACAGTGAGATGCAGGTTCAGAGCTCAGGGCTTGAGTCCCACTGAGGGAGACCACAGGCTCCTGCTAGAGCCTGGGGACACCCCGCCTACCCCCCAATGGGTGGCTACAGGGGCCGTGGCCTGGCTCAGAGGCAGACAGGTGTGAGAGCAGGTGGGTGGAACGGACACCTCAGATTCCAGAGGTGAACCTCAAGGTAGACAGGTGCCTGCGGGCGTCTTGTTGGCTGGACCGAGGGGCCTGCTCCGGGTGCCCATCGGGAAAAGCTGAGGGCTAAGCCCCAGTTCCCGGAAGTCCTGCTTCTCTCCAAACCATTCCTGGGCGGGGCAGGGGGGGTGTCTGGCAGGATCCCAGGGCCGGAGGAGTTCTCCTCAAGACTCTTCTCCCCCCCTACCAGTCACAGAAGTGACCGCTCGGGAGGGCAGGGGCTGCGACTGCGGGCAGTGACGTTTACACCGGCCCCACGGGCCAGTGAGAGGCGTCCGCCTCTGTCTGTGGGCCGAGGAGAAAAGCTTTCCTTGCTTTCCACTCCAAACGGGCAGTGTGGCAAGAGGCACTCCTTCGGAGAATGAGTGGGTGAGGGTGGCGGAGAAGAGGGGAGCTGGGCAGGCCCGCTGCGGCGCGGGCGGGGCCAGCAGGGTGCAGGAGGGGCGGGAGTGGGGTGGGCATGGGCTCCAACAAGGGATGGCACTCACCCTCCAGTGCCCAGTGCCCCGGGAGGTGGCCGGGGCCAGACCGAGGTCTTCAGGCTCTTCCTTCTCCTCCTTGTTGGCTCAGGGTGTCCTCGCTGGGCAGCCCACAGTCCAACCAGCCCCTCCTGGGGTCCAGAGTCAGAGGCCCCCCGGCCCGCAGGCTGAGCCTGGCCCGCGGGGCGTCTGCAGGGCTTCCATGCAGTGGGCGCACAAGAGTGTGTGCATGTGTGTGTGTGTGTGAGTGTGTGTGTGTGTGTGTGTGTGTGCGCGCGCGCGCACGTGGGTGTGTCACTGCATGGGGCTGTGACTTCGGGTGGGGAGAGTGTGCACTGGGCCTGACTGTGCACTCCCTCCTCCAAGGCTGGGCGACAGAGGGGCAGGAAGAGACGAGAGTAAGCAGGTAATGGGTGGGGGTGGTGGGGCACGTGCCCTCGACCCTCTGGGGAGCTCCTTGTGGGGAGAGATGGGAGGGGAGCGGGCATTAGCATGGCAAGGCGGGCGAGCAGCCGGCAGGCGCTGGGGCCTCTTAAAGCCAAGCAGGGAGGAGGGTAGTGCCAAGCAGGAAACCAGAGCACGAGGGCAGGCAGGGGCACAGGTAGGCCCTGGGAGGCACTGGATGCAGGACCCAGGGGAAGGGAGGCAGCACGGGCCCGGGGAGGGGTATCCAGCCTTCCTGTTGCCCCAGGTCCAGCCCACCAGGCGTGCAGAGTTGGGGTGCCCCACCCCCGAAAAAAATAACAGCTGCTCTCGTCAGCCCTCAGGTCTATCACTCTCTCCCGCGTTCATGTGCTGCCCCCGGCCAGGGTCCTGCTGCCCTGGAAGACCCTGGGCCACACCCCCACCCTGCAGTCCAGGTTGGCAGCTGAGGGTAAAGCTGGACCACCTATGGGCAGCCAGGGCCAGCTGGCAACTCTGGCCAGGAATGGCCTCACAAGGGACCGGAAGCCAGAGGCTGTGCCCACCCCGGCAGGCAGTTGCTGGAAAACGGGGCCACTCATCTCTCAGAGGCCCCGCTCCAAGCCTGGTGGGCAATGCAGGGCCTGGTATATGGTATGGGCTGGCCCGTATAGGCCGGGGACACCCCACTCAGCACGGCCCCCAGAGGCTTGGATCACACCAGCTCCCGGCACCCGGGCTGGCCTCAGGCCTGGCGCCGTCTGTCCCAGGGGACAATCTCCCCTTCACATCATGACCCTGCCCGAGAGCTCGGGAACCAGGGGGATCCGGCACAGAGGGGCAGCCTGGTGGGGGAGGGCTGCAGGGGGCAGCAGGAGATGGAGCCTGCCCCTGGGCACCAAGGAGGGCTGGTGGGGAGGGGAGCAGAGGGGCGTGCAGGGGGAGGGAAGGAAGAGGGAGGGGTGGCAGAGCTGCAGGCCGGGGATACCTGAGAAGAAGTGGGCCTTGAAGCCCTTCTTGGAGACCGTGTTGTCGGACTTGAACTCCACGCGCATGTTGTTGTACTGGGAGGTGATGACCTCGGGCTTCTCGGAGCCGCAGAACTTGCCGTGCAGCTTGGAGTCGGCAGTGAGCCCGCTGCGCACCTCCACGAAGTCGTACTTGCACACCTGCGGGGAGACACGGCGCCAGGCGCGCCTCCTCACCACGCCCGCCAGGCTCCCTCTGCCGGGGCTCACCCTATTCCAGAGCTCACCACTGACTCAAGGGGCCGCCCATGCTCTCGAGGGACCCTCCATGCTCCCCAGGGTGCATGCTCCCCAAGCCTGGCCTGGCTCTGCCCGCTCCCCGATGCCAAGGCCTCCAGGACCTTCCTCCCCTCTCCTCCCCGCCTCCCCGGCCCCGACTCCATTCCTAGAAGCCGGGGTGCCCACACCCTGCTGGGCACCCAGGTCCCGGGCGGGTGGGGAAGTGGGCGGGCACTCACATCATTGCCTTCCGTCTCGAAGAAGTCGAACTGCAGAGAGATGCGGTACTGGGTGGGGGCCACCAGCTGCCAGATGCAGTTCTTGTTGGGGGGGTACTCCTTGGGCCAGCCAGGGCTGGTGATGGAGCCGTTGAGCTTGGTGAGGAACCCACCACAGGCGGCTGAAGGGAAAAGAGGGGAGGCATCACGGCTAGGTGCCCCGACTAGCAGGGCGCAGGCAGTGGATGCCCCCTCTCCGCTCATAGACAGGGGTTCTGCATGCACCGGGGAAGGGGCCCGGGCAGGGGCTGAGCAGAGGCAGGGCGAGGGGCTTCCGGGCTCTGCATGGCAGAGGCAGGTGCAGACAAGGAGGGCGGCTGGCCCCGGGGGAGCTCACAGAGGCGCGGGGAGAGGCTGAGAGCAGCACTGCTTCCCACCCCAGGGTTCGTGGCCTTCTGATGGGTGGTGCAGCCAAACAGCAGGTCGAGATCAGCAGTGAGGGAGAACGGGAACGAGAAACAAAAGCTGGAGCGCCTGCCCCCTGGAATAGCGTGTTCTGGGGCCGGAATCGGAGCGGCCTGCATCCCGCCCGCGAGGACTAAGTGGGGAGCCCCAGCCTTTCCAGGTGGGGGGTGGAGGGGAGTTCTGTCTGAGACTCTCAGCTAGAGAGGTCCCGGGACCTTGTGGGGGACACTCACCCTCGCAGCGCCGCTTGTCGGGGGCCAGCTCGTAGCCGGGGTCACAGCTGCACTTGTAGCTGCCCAGGGTGTTGACACAGCGCTGCTCACAGCCCCCGCGGTTGGGCCGGGAGCACTCGTCCACCTCTGCGCGGAAAGGAAGCACGTGACCCCCAGGCCGGGCTCTGGCTCCGGCCGGGCTCTGGCTCCAGCATCAGCTTGGGGGGTCAAGGTCAGAGCCTCTCACGCTTGGGGGCCACGCAGCACTGAGACCACCCAGCACTGAGACCACTGGGATGGGCTGAAGCCCACTTGACCTCCCAGGGACCCCACTCTTTTTTTTCCTTTTTTTTTTTTTTTTTTTTTTTGCTTTTTGGGTCACACCCAGCAATGCTCAAGGATTATTACTCCTGGCTCTACACTCAGGAATTACTCCTGGACATGCTGGAGGGACCATATGGGATGCTGGGAATCAAACTCGGGTCAGCCATGTGCAAGGCAAACGCCCTACCCACTGTGCTATTGCTCCAGCCCCGGGACCCAACTCTTGAGAGTTCCACAGGGACAAGAGAACTGAAGGGGACCTCCACAGGATCTTCTGTCTGACCACAACAGCTGACCCGGCAGCCCCCACCACTCACTGGTGTCCCCCGGGTTACATTCCCAGGCCTTATTCTTTCATTTTTTCTTCACTCCTGTCAGGAAGCCCGGAGGGACCCGGCTGTCCCCAATTGCAATCTACACCCTGGGCACACTCACACAGAGAGGAAGCCTGTGTGCCAGTGTGCTTCCTCCCGAGCTCCTGCGGCACCCCCGCCCCTATGCCTCACTGGCATGTCTCCTGTACAAGCTGGGACCTGGCGACTCCTGAGCTGTTGTTTCAGTTCGCAGTCGAGCCCCTGCCACACCTCAGTTCCCCTGACAGAGTCTGTCATGAGCTCAGGAAGGCTAATCTTCCCATTTCATCCCCCTGTTCGAGGGCAGAGTGCCAGGGATGACATACCCTTCACTAAGTACCTGCAGGAGACTGAGGTCCTAGCAACACTGCTGGGTAAGTGTAACTCACTGGAGAGAACAGAGAGAACAACATGTCTACATGCTGTGGAATACTACTCAGCCTTAAAGGAGCATCTGCCTTAGGCGACAACATGGATGCTTTTGAGAAAATGAAGGAAAATGTGGCTGTCACAGAAAGACAAACACTGTATGAGGCATCTAAAAGATGCCCAAGTCGAGGCTGGAGAGAGAGTATACAGGTAAGGCACCTGCCCTGCGCATGGCTGACCTGGGTTCAATCCCCAGAACCACACATGATCCCCAGAGCCCTGCCACGAGTGATCTGTGAGCACAGAACCAAGAGTAAGGGCAGAGTCAGGTGTGACCAAAGCAAAATTAATTAATTAAAAAGAAAGAAAAGAGCGAGTCATAGTAATACAGTGGAGTAGTGGTAGGTAAGGGCAGGGGAGGGGACAGGGCATTAGTCACACAGGGCAGAAAGTCTGCACCAAGCACTATCAGACAGTCAGAGATCTGTGGTTCCACCTGTCACCATCGGTCACTATTCCAGGCACAGCGTCTGCCATCGGTCACTATCCTGGACATACTGTCCACTAGCAGCCATTATCCTGAGCATACGGACCACCATCGGCCATTATCCCAGGCACATTGACCACCATCAGTCATTATCCCGAGCACACCATCCACCACTGGCCACTATCCTGGGTACACTGTCCACCATTGGCAACTATGCCAGGCATACCGTTCACCATCAGCCACTTCTCTTGGGCACACTGTTCACCACTGGCCACTATCCTAGGTACACCGTTCTCTATAGGCCACTACTCAGGGCAGACCATCCACCATCGGCCACTATCCAGGAGACATGGCCCGCCATCAACCGCTATCCTGGGCACATCACCCACCATTGGCCAACATCCCAAGCACACTGTCCACTGTCTGCCATCGGCCATTACCCAGGGCACACTCCACGTATCCGAGGCAGACCCCAAACGGAGTCTGGAACACAAAACCCCATGAAGCACAGAGGGGAGGGGGAGGCACCTTTGAAAAAGTTGACCGCAAAGCCAGCTTTGTTGATGGAGCCGTCGGAGACAAACTTGAGCCAGAGGCGGCTGGACGTGCTCTTGATGTCATCAGGCTTCTCGTAGCCGCAGTAGCGCCCAATGAGAGTGCTGCTCTCGCTGTGGCCGTCGCGGACCTCCAGGTAGTCGTAGGCACAGCTGTCGTGGCGCTCGATCTGGGGGAGGTGGAGCTCAGCCTGCTGCCCGCACCCGGGGTGGGGGGGGGGCACAGCCGGGTGCGGGGACCGCGGGTCCCGGGCAGACCTACCTCGAAGGACTGGAAGGTGAGGCCCACGTGGAAGCCCTCCGACACCTGGACCCGCCAGATGCAGACCTTGCTGGGCCGGTAATCGTCTGGGTAATTGGGCGACTGGATGTGGCCGTTGTCCTTCTTCACGTCTCCCCCACAGATGGCTTTGGAGGCAAGAGTGAGTCGGACAAAAGGGAGGTAGGTCTGAAGAACTGGCGGCTGGAGAGCCGCTCCCTCCTCTCATCCTCCCGCGCTCACCAGGACTGAGCAGCAGGGGCCCAGGCCTGCCCAGGACCCCACACCTCCTCCCCCCCCCCCCCCCCCCCGCGCCTCCCTCCTCAGTACCTTCGTAGACAGCAAAGAAGCCCTTCCCGACCCAGTTGCTGCTGCTGCGAAATTCAACCCAGAGGCGGCTGTCGGTGGAGACAATGGGCTCAGGGAGTTTGCCTCCACAGAAGCGACCTGCGGTGTGGACAGAGCAGTGAGGCCGGAAGTGAGTCTTCCTCCCCGCCTCACCTCTCAGACTGTCCACCCCCGCCCTAAAGTCTGCTGGCCTCTCTGAGCGCTCTGGCCGAATGCACCCGGCACACAGTCCAGACCTCACTGCCTCCAGCTGGCCAGAGTCTGGCCCAAGGTCCAGCTTGACCCTGAAGAGCCAGAGAACACTTCCCGAAGATCTCTGTACTTTCGTTTTTTTGTTTTGTTTTGTTTTTGCTTTTTTGGGTCACACCCGGTGATGCACAGGGGTTACTCCTGGCTCTGCACTCAGGAATTACTCCTGGCGGTACTCAGGGGACCATATGGGATGCCGGGACTCAAACCCAGGTCAGCAGCATGCAGGGCAAATGCTGTACCCGCTGTACTATCACTTCAGCCGCCCCATCTCTGTACTTTTTGGGCTGGGACAGTCTGTTTCTAGGAGATAGAGGACCCTTCCCCACCGGCATCACTGCTTAATTTTTCTTAGACATCCACGCAAGTGGTCACCGAGGCCACAAATGGCTTCCTTTGTACATCACAAACTGTTTTCATGGGATCGAATGCAGGGGACAATGCAGGACCCCAAGTAAATCTCCCCATCTGGGGCCTATGCCTGAAAATGTCCCCTTTTGAAATAAAATCCAGCAGGAACCCGCATAAGCCAAGCCGCTGCCGCGTGTGGGGGTGGGGGGTGGGGGGAACGCCGTGCAGTTGAGAATCAGCTCGGGAGGATTCGTATGTTCCTAATAAGGTTGGGTGTTTCCCAATGCTTAGCAGGGACAGAGGGTGCTGCCCTAGGAATGTAAGTTATGAAAAAAAAAAGCTGCAAAGTTGGAAACACCAACACGTCTGCAGGGGAAGTGTTGTAATGACAGCTGCTCTGGGCAACTAACAGAAAATATTCCGAGAGTAGGCTGTGGAGGGGAGCGTGAGGTCGAGAGCCAGAACCCAGCAGCGAACACAGTTCGAAGGCGCTAGCGTTCCCAAGCGACTTGGGATGCTGCCGGGGGAAGAAGTCAGAGAGCTCCTGGCACTGTGCGCACTTGCTCTCTCCAACGCCCGATTCATGGTGCCCGGTCCACGTTATCCGAGTCAGCCATGCCCCATTTACTGACCTTCCTCCCCACCAGGCATAGAGCATCCTGTGTACACAAGGTTAAGTCACTGTGCTGGCCATGGGGATCCCAGAGTGCCCTGGGCTCACTACAGACTCCCTCCAGCCTGAGCTTGCAGACAGGAGAGTGGGATGCCCAAAATGGCTAAGAGGAAGGGAGTCTGAGCCCTGGGGGTGCCTGGAGATCCCTTCTACCAGCCTGCATGAGCCCTGAGCGCTGCCCTCCATGGGAGCGCACAAAGCCTACACCAAGGACCCCCAAGGTCCCCAGGGTGGAAGGGACTTGCCCTTGGTGGCCCTCAGTATTCCTGGTCCTGCTGCCAGGGTGGCCCCAGGCAAGTGTCAGTTGCAGGGGAAGGAAGGAGGACTTGCAGAAGGCATCGGCTCGAGGAGGCAGGGGGGCGGTGCTGTCACCTCGGAGGGGCGCCTTCCTCCAGAAGCCATCACGGACCTCCACGTAGTCGTACCAGCAAAGGCGGCTGCGGTACAGATCCATGGACGTGAAGTTCAGGATGATCTGCAGAGACGGGTGCAGGAGGGTTAGGCCGCTCTGGGGTCCACCAGTACAGTCGCTCACCCTCCTGGAGGTGCACTGCCACACAGTGGGGTTCTACGACATTACTCCTGGCACAGAGCACAAGCTTCTCCCCCACATGCAGCCCAAGGACACCTCCCTGCGGGCCCTGGTGTACAGAAAGTCGAGCCCTGGGAACAGACGTGCGATATGGGGTCTCGCTGTATGGGCCCCCACCTCCTCTCCCAGGAAGGAGCCACTACTTCGCATTTGCTCTCCTCATGGTGGGTCAGTGAGTCATAATCTACTTCCAGAAGCCCCAGAAGCTCCGCCCACCTCCCATGCCTGCTGCCTTGCCCACTCTTTGGTCCAGACCATAGATCTGGAAATGTCCGGACAGTACAGCCGCATATGCGGCCACATGACACCACCTAAAGCAACAAAAAGCTGAATTAATAAATTCTTAGACAAGAAACTTGTCAGTCTGACAATCATATATAACAATATTTATGAAAATTTATTTTATAGATCTACTGATATTAATATTATAACTTTGTTATCTAATCAATTTTAATTCTAGTACTGCATCAACAGTTCCCACATGTTTCTACCATGAAAAGTTTTTTGTTTAATGATTGAAAAGAGCAAAAAAAGAAAAGAATCATAATCCTGGTGCTGGAGCAATAGTTCAGCAGGTAGGGGTGCTTGCCTTGCATGTGGGTGATCTGGGTTTGATCCCTGGCATCCCATATGATCCCCGAGCACCATCAAGAGTGATTCCTGAGCACAGAGCCAGGAGTCAACCCTGAGAACCACCAGGTGTGTCCCCAAAACAACACAAGAATCATAGCCCTCTCCAGGTTCTGTGTGACCTGAAGGGCGGCACAGAGGTCTGGGCCTGAGATGGGGACAGGCAGCGCAAAAGGAGAGGTGGGGGGAGAGGCTGATTCTGGGCAGGGCCCCTAACTCAGCGGTGCTGGGAACCACCCACAAGACAACTGCTGGGAGGAATCCCCAGCACCTGGGTATGAACCAAATGTGAAAAAGAAAACTGGGGCTGGAGAGACAGAGCATGGGAAGGAGATTCCCTTGCATGAGGCTGATCGGGGGGAGGAGGAGGAGGAAGAGGGGGAGGAGGTGGAGGAGGAGGAAGAAGAGGAAGAGGTGGAAGAGGAGGAGGAGGAAGAGGTAGTGGAGGAGGAGGAGGAGGAGGAGATGGTGGTGGAGGAGGAAGAGATGGAAGAAGGAGATGGAGGAGGAGGAGATGAAAGAGGAGGAGGAGAAATACTATGACAATGACAATGTTGACAACGATGACATGTGCAAACGAATCGCATCCTCCGGAAGCTCAGCAGCCTGTGCAGAGAGAACAGCAACTCCCCCAGGCAGAATTCCCCCGTGGCAGGCCCCAGAGCTCAGCTCCACCCATCCATGGGCACCGACCCAGGCACACTGCACTCCCGTCAGCACTGAGGCTCCTTGCTCGCAGAGGGCAGCCGGCTGCCAGGAAGAAGCTCCCTTCCCGGGAGGGAAACTCTTCCTCGTAGTTTCCAGAGGGAGCCCCAGAGTCTGTATGCAGTCAAGAGTCACCCGGGGACACAGGCTGAAGTTTTCCAGACCCACGTGGGACACAAGCAAAGGCCCGAGAGGGCGCCAGCCCCTGTGACCTGGGTTCCCTGAGGGAGGAGAGGGGATGAGGCCGGCCTCCCCTCTGGCTCCCTGCCAGTTAGTGCTCAAGGCAGACAGTGAGGCTGGCATGAACAGGACTCCAGGGTGGATGCTGTCCATTGTCATGTGCGGCCAGTGTCAGTGCTGTGCCCAGACAAGGGCAGGATGTGGGTCACGTTCACGCTCTAACACTGACCCAGCAGAATTTGGGAGCTCAACATTCACCTTAGCTCTGCTTCCCACGCCATCACCTCCTCTCTGCACCCTTTCTTGGGAAGCCTCAAAATACCCTAGACCTGTGTTTAGTCTTCTCACATTTAGCAAGTTGGCATCTGCTTGGCAAACCGGGCCACAGACTAGGAACAAGGCAGCAGACTTTTCAATACTGGCATATCAACACCGGTCCACAAGCTGTGTAGACCTTGTCAGTATCCTTAATCCCAAATTCCAGGCCCCCACTCTCCACCCATAGCTCCTGTTTCCCCTTGTTCACCCTCTCTGTTCACTCAGCCCAACCATCAATTCCAGTTCACAGCCACTTCCTGTCCACAGAGACCTTGGTATTTCTCTGTTTCTCTGCCTTTTACCTCCAACACTCACCTCGTCTGGAACCACAAATTTATCTTCCTGCCTTTCTTTGGATTTGCACACGAGTTTGGGGACCATTTGTTAATTGTGGTACTCTGAGATGTCATTGAGGGAGATCCATTTCAAAAAGTAGTCTGCATTATTCTTGATGGTAAGTTTACAGTATGATAAAAACAGGATTCAGGCCTTCAGGCCTTCTGAAAAGCTGAAGTCAAAAGCTGTGGGTGGGATGGGGGGAAGGGAGGTGGGAGGGATACTGGGATCCGTGGTGGTGGGAAATGGGCACCGGTGGAGGAATGGGTATTTGATCATTGTATAATTGAAACCCAAGCACAAAAATGTTTAAGTCTGCAACTGTACCTCAGGATGTCTCACTATTAAAAAAATTTTTAATAAAAAAAAAAAGCTGTCGTAGCTCTGGGGTGGAAGTGAGCAGCTGATTTCCTAGCACCTTCTTTAGGAAGTGACCAAACGTCATCACTAGCGCAGCAATGGGCTGACGCACGTCACCTCAGAGCAAATCCAACGGGCAACTTGCGCATTGGCTTCTTGGCTATGACCCCAACTTTCTTGCTTCTCTCCGTCTCAGTTTTTTTGTTTGTTTTTTGGTTGGTTTTTTTTTTGGGGGGGGGGTTTGGACCACACCTGGATGTGCTCAGGGCTTACTCCTGGCAGTGTCTGGGGGATCTTACAGGATGCCGGGGGTCAAGCTGAGTCTGCATCCAGCAAGGCAAGCACCAAGCACCTTCCCGGCAGCACTAGCTCTGTGGTCCCTCCTCTCTTGCTTCTCTTTCTCTTCACTGTACTCAGTGGAATCTACAAACTGTCCACTGCAACTTTCCCCGTACTCAGCACTAGTACTGCAAAGGCCAATGTGGCTTGAGGAAAAACACCGACCAGGCTGCAGGGAGAGGTCCCTAGGTCCCTAGGCACTGCCAGCCCTCCCCTCCCCTCCCGCCCTCCTGCTCTCTTCACTCAGTCCTCGCCCCTGTGCTGTCTGTTTCCGAGATCAGCTCAACAGTCCCTGCTCCTTGTCCTGCTCCCCAACATAGCAGATGCTTCATGTCAATGGAGTCACATCTCCTCTGCTCAAAATCCTCCACTGCATGGAACTCAAGATTAAAGCCAGAGTCCACACTACAGCCTCCAAAGTCATTCATGATGTGGCCCCTCACCAGCTAGCTCTGACCCTCTCTCCCTACACTCCCGTCCTGACTTACCCACCTCATCCACCAGGCTCATCTTCTTAAACACACTAACTCTAATCCTAACCCCAGCCTTGCTGCCTGGAAGTTCTTCCCAGCTATTTGCCTGGTGCCATGCTTCACTTCCTGTCAGTTTTTGTTCTAACTCACCTGACTGGCTCCAGTTCCTGACTATCTCTCATGGAATCCCAAATCCCACCTCACTCACATACCTCCCATGGCTGACTTCCTTGGAACTGCACCATCTTGATCTGCTCTATTTGTCTGTTTACTTGCTTTATGGTCTGTCTCTCTACCCCACCGACGAAATGTAAACCCTCTGCGGTAAGCTTAAGGTTTAAGTGTCTGGGGTATTTCACTGCACGATGCATAGCAGTCACTTAATTTGCTCAGCAGTTGCTTACTGGTTGAATACAATTTTGCTTTTAGGACTCTTGTACAGAAAACTTAGCACTGTAGCACTGTCCTCCCACTGCTCATCAATTTGCTCGAGCGGGCACTAGTAACGTCTTATACTGTTTTTGGCATATCAAATACATCACGAGTAGCTTGCCAGGCTTTGCCGTGCGGGCGAGATACTCTCAGTAGCTTGCCAGGCTCTCCGAGAGGGGCAGAGGAATCGAACCCGGGCTGGCCGTGTGCAAGGCAAACACCCTACCTGCTGTGCTATCGCTCCAGCCCACAGAAAAGTAAAAAGATGTTAATTTTGGCGGGGGGGGGGGGGGGGGGACAAATAATTCAACACTCAGGAGTACATGCTTTGCATGCAGGAGGCTCAAGTTCAGTACTCAGCACTACATGGTCTCCCGAGCAATGCCAGAATGAACCCTGAGGACTGGGCTGTAAGTAGCCCCTGAGGACCCAAACCTCTCCCCACTGACAGGTTTAAATTCAAATATACTTACTGTAGCATTTTCTTTTTTCTTTTTCTTTTTTTGTTTTTGAGGCCACACCCAGTGGTGCTCAGGGGTTACTCCTGGTTCTGAGCTCAGGGATCACTCCTAGCAGTGCTTGGGGGGCCATATGGGGGTGCCAGAGACTGAACCTGGATCAGCCTGTGTACAAGACAAACACCCTACCTGCTGTACTATCACTCTGGCCCAATTGTAGCTTTTCTTTTTTCTTTTTATTTTTCTTGATTTTTGGGTCACACCCAGCGATGCACAGGGGTTACTCCTGGCTCTGCACTCAGGAATTACTCCTGGCAGTGCTGGGGGACCACATGGGATGCTGAGAATCGAACTCAGTCAGCTGCATGCAAGGAAAACACCTTACCCGCTGTGCTATCGCTTCAGCCGCCCCAATTGTGGCATTTTTTATCATACTGAAACTTAAAAAAACTTTAACACCCATAAATGGGGACGAGGTACAGACAAAATAAGGAAAATTAAACGACAGAATGTTGAGCAGCCATCTGAATGACTGAGGTCAATCTTCAATGTATGATGAGTGATGGTCATATTTCCTCATGAGTAAAAGCAAGTCACAGAAGACCATAGATACGGAAATTCATTTTGTTCATACACACACATCCCCACCCTT